TGTTAGAATGGTTATCCTTCACTTTATAGCTATATCCACTAATAAGTGAGTACATACCATTTTTGTCTTTCTGTGCCTCATTGAGGTCACCCAAGATGTTTTTTTTTCTAGTTCCAATCATTTGTCTTTGAATTTTATGATGTTAATGTTTTAAAAAGCTGAGTAATACTCCATTGTGTAAATGTAATGCATTTTCTTTATCCATTCTACAGCTGAAGAACATCCAGGTTATTTCCAGTTTCTGGCTAATAATATAGTTCTGGCTGTGAATATAGTTGAGCATGCGTCCTTGTGATATGAACGGAAATCCTTTGAGTATATACACAAGAGTGGTATAGCTTGGTCTTGAGGTAGATTGAGTCCCAATTATCTGACAAACATCGTATTGGTTTCCATAGTGTCTTGTACAAGTTTGCACTCCCACTCACAAATGAAAAGTGGTCCAACTGCTCAGCATAATGCGCTGTCACTTGCACTATTTATCTTAGCCATAATGAGAGGTTTAAGACAGAATTGGAATCTCAAAGTAACTTTGATATGTATTTTTCTGATGTCTAAGATTGTTTAATATTTCTTTAGTCTTTCTTGGCCACTTGAGCCTCTTCTGTTGAAAATTATGTTCTGATCTGTACTCCAGGTTTTTATTCATATTTTATGTCTAGTTTCTTGAGTTCTTTGTATATTTGGGCAATCAGACCTTTGTCAGAAGTGAGGATAGTGAAGATCTTTTCTCATTCTGTAGGCTACTACTTTGTCCTAGTAAGAGTGTCAGCTAAGACTCCTAGGAAAAATGAATAAGTAACCTGAACTGACCACTTCCTTTGACCAGGCAAGACTACCAGTGGGGGTATTGGTACACTGACTTAACCACATAACCTTCAACCTACTGTCTAGCCTATGGAATGTGTTCAGGTAAATGTGACATAGAGTTTGTGCTAGTGGTTAACCAATGACTGATTCAGAGTGCCAGGATCCTGAGGTTGAATGGCCCAGATACCTAGGATAGAATCAAACTCTACTGGAAAAAATGCCAATGTAATGATACCAAAAACTATTATTTTATGCTTGTAGATTAGTGCCTCGCCCAATAGTCTTCAGGTAGACTTTATCAAGAAACTAGTGGAAACAAATGCAGGGACTCACAATAACATTAGGTTGACTTTGGAGAATTCCATATAAGACAATGTGGACAGATTGTAGCAGTCAGTGGGGTCAAGGACACTGCAAGAGATTACACAGAATCAGCTAACCTGGGCTCATAAGAGCTCACAGAGATGAAAACTACAACCAGGGAGCCAACATGGAGTAGGGCCTCTGCATATATGCAACTGTTGTATAGTTTGATCTTTTTATGGATCTCCTATCAGTGAATCAAGAGCTGTCTTTGACTTTTTGTGCTGGCATTTGGGAACCTATTCCTCACATTTATTTGCCTTGCTCAGTATATTACAGGCAAAGTTCTAATCTTATTACAATTTGATATTCCATACTTTGTCAATATCAATGGTAGGTCTGCCATTTTCTAAAGAGAAAGAGGGGAAAGAAGGTGTTGGAGGGGGAGTAGGGGTAGAACTTAAGGAGGGGATGAAGGGGAAATTGTTGTCTGTATGTAAAATAAATAAATAAAGAAGAAAAACTAAACAAAACATAAAAAAGAAAACAAATCAAAAAAGTGAAACAGTAAAACAAAAATGTAAGGTCTTTTTGAGCTATGGATTAACAGTATTTTGTCAAGCAGCCACCAACCTAAGTCATCAAATGCTGTTTAATAGGAAGTAATAAAATTTAGTCATGAACTATCAAATTATATAAATGCCTCCCAAATTAAGGCCAAGGAGAGATATTATAAATAACAAAATAATTTAAATTACTGAGAAAAGTTTATAACAGTAGGTTAGATATGAAAATGACATAAACATAGATGAGGCATACATTCTTATAGTATTATAGCATATTTGAAGCTCTGAATAAACTAAGAAATTAAACCATAGTAATGAACACATATCAAAGTTATGAAACTATCAATTCCCAGAGGACTAACCCGTGAACTAACAGTAGGATTCCTAAAAAGTCCAGGAGATGTGATGGAATAATACATTATGGACAATAAAAAATTTAAAGAAATAAATAGTCAATGCTAGAGCAAGAAACAAGAATATATGCAATAGTTTAGAAAGAACCACAAACATGCAATGTTTAAACAATGATGAATTTGCCAAATGTAAAGAAGAATGCACTTGGACAACTTTTTAAAACACATTTCAAATTGTAGTCACACCAGGAAACACAAGGTTAGAAAAATCCCTTTACACACTGATTCATCTTGTCCTCCATATCTAAGGTGATGTACCATGATGGGTACATATAGTAGAGGTTTTGATGCCTTATTCAGAAAATTTTTACTCAGCTGTGCTGATTTAACTCTCAATATTTGAAGTCACCATACTTCTTTTATTTAAATTTGTTCATTGACAATATCTGCAAATATTGATGGATCTCTGATGGCTATACCTTACTTCTTAGTTCTTTCCTACTCATATTGCCCCCAACAGGAGTAACTTTCTACAGTTACGTATTTTTTTTTTCTACTTATCTGTGCACTGGGTTTAACCATAGCAATCTCTGTGCCCATTGATTTGCAGTTATGCCTGGGGAATGGTGAGAACATCTTTAAATCACAAGGACAGAAAATATCTGGCCTTGCTCCAAAATCATGAGGAACTGACAGTTCAGTAAAGAGGTTTGGAGTACATAGGCTACTAATTGTTCTACAGTTGACTTCTATTATCTGTGGGGGGCCCATAGTAGGGAACCTTGAAATCATGACTACGTTGATATCATGTCAACAAAACAGCATCTCACAGCACTTCTCACTTTTTCAGAGTTCTTTCTTTCTTCCACTTCATAGCCCAAATCGCCATTATTTTATAAGTGATTTGAAACCTACACACCACTTGTGCTCATCTGTACACAAATATAATATTGTTACAGAACATCTTGAGAACTTCTTGATAAACTATATAATTAGACTATAAAATAAGTTCTTATTACTTATGTGATTTCTAATAACACAATTTCAATTAAATTTCAGCAATTCAATTAAATTTCTTTTAAGTCATGTGTCTTTGAAGAAGAAGCACAAGGGAGGGTGATGGTATTCTTCCTCAGGTAAAGGAGCATGAAGCTGAGACAGAGGATCTGAATTCAATCCCCAAACTTCACATATTAGAAGAAGAAACCAACTTCCACTAGTTGATTTTGGAGTTGATTAAAATTGAGAGATTTTTTTTTGGGGGGGGGGCTCTCAGAAGAGACTTTAGACTTTTAAACTGTGTTGGTTGAGATTGTGGAAGACTATGGGCGCTAAAGTTGGACTCTGTTTTTTTTGCATTATTGTATTGCCAGAGCCTGTATCACCTTGCTTTTGGAATATCATGGTTTGAATGAAAATGTCTAGCATAGTCTCCTATCTCAACATTTAGTCTTTAATTAGTAAAATTATTTAAAAAAAATTGGAAGCTATGGCCTAGTTGGAAGAGGTATGACTCTAGGGGGAAGCTTTGAGCTTGTAAAAGTCCATGTCATTTCCAGTTAGCTGTCTCTGTGCCTTTTCCTTATGGACGACGTGAAAGTTCTCAAGCACTGCTCCAGTGTATTCCATTCTGTCTTTCTGTTACCATGCTTCCTGTCACAATAGCAATGAACTCAATCCTATGGAACTGTAATCTCCCAAAATAATCTCTCTCTTTTACATATTGCCTTGGTTATTGGTGCTTTGTTATGGCAATCAAATAGTAACTAAGAAAATTAGAGAAGAATTTGAAAAGGTTGTGTTTATCTAAGCCTACAATAAATAAGCTTTAAAAGACTATATTCTGTGTTATTATTTCCAGTCTATCAGTACAGTTGAGTACAAATTTTATACATGAGACATGCTTTCCTGTAGTCATCTGATTTCTGGACAATGCAATGGAGGTATTTTCATGTTTTGGTAGATAATTTGTGACAAGCCTATTTAGCTTATTTGAATACACATACAGATTTATTATAACCACTATCTCATAAATATTAGGACATGATATTAAAGAAATAATGGCTTTAATATCTAGGCACAAACAAGATTTTCAAATTATTATAAACTTGTAAACATATGGTTTTATTCCACAAATACATTACCAAATGGTACATAACATGGTTATTACATATAATATTATATGTAATATATATTATATAATACTTTCAAAACATAATATATAAAATATATTCAAATATACATGCAACATTTTCAATATATGTTTACCTAACTCACCTTGGCAGTTCTATTACTTCATCATACAAAGTAAAATAATGATCATGCCAATAAACTGATGGAAGTACATTAAAAACCTATAAACACTTCGTTTTTTTCAGTTAAGGAATAAAATAAATGGATATTTTTAATTTATATGAATATTTAGGAGTTAATTACAGAGGTTATGTTAAATTGAGACAGCTAGAATTATGATTTTGCATTTTAATTATTTTGACTTCTAAGAATATGTAGATTTTTCAAGTTTCTTCAGTATCTTCTGTAGTGAAATTAAAATCAATATTGCCACATAATGCTAAACATAGATGTTTTAAAAAATGATATTCATAAGTAATTAGAATAATGTATTGTTAATAATTTAGTGATTAGTAATAATCTAGTGTTTGCATAGTGTTGGGAGCACTGATAATATCCAGTAAGTTTTTGTTATTACCCTGTTTGTATCATCCTCTAATAATCAGACAAAAAAGGTTTATTATGCAGAAGCATTATTATTTCTAATTTGCAAATCTATTAAGTGCTATACTTTAAATGTATGTTAATAATAGCTATTTTATAGCCATACATTAATATAAGAAAATATGTTGAAGAAATGAAATTGTAAGATTTAATTTCTAGTTGAAAGTTGGCTAAATTGTTGTATAATCTGAAATTTCTTATTACATAACAATTCCAAATATTATTCCTGAATTTACATGTAATTTATCTGCTTCTTTATGGCATTCTTAATGTCTTTATTTCTAAGTGTATAGATGGCTGGATTCAGAAAAGGTGTGATGACTGTATAAAACACACCAAGAAACTTGTCCACCCAAGGGATGCTGACTGGCCACAGATAGATAAAAATGATGGGCCCAAAGAATAGCACAACCACTGTGATATGGGAGGTACAGGTAGAGAGTGCCTTGGCTGAACCATCTTTAGAATAAAGTTGAACAGTTAATAGAATGTAAGTGTAAGATATCAGCAATGGAATGAAACAAGATGTTGCTAAAATACCACTGTCAGCATTTATCACGATTTCCAGAGTATCAGTATTGGTGCAGGCTAATTTCATCACCAAAGGAATATCACAGAAAAAGCTGTCTATCACTCTAGGTCCACAGAAAGGTAGATCTACAATCAAGAGCAATTGACTAATGCCATGCACAAATCCAATGATCCATGATATCAAAACAAGCCAGATGCACTTCTGTCTGTCCATGATGCTGGTGTAGTGGAGTGGCCTGCAGATGGCCACATAGCGGTCATAGGCCATTGTTACAAGAAGCACCATCTCACTTCCTCCAATGAAATGCACGCAGAGGATCTGGCTCATGCAACCCCCAAAAGAAATAGTTTTAATATCTTTTAGAAGGTCTGTGATCAGTTTGGGTGTATTTACTGAAGAAAGGCAGAAGTCAACAAATGAGAGATTGGCTAGAAGAAAGTACATGGGAGAATGGAGATGATGATCAGTGATGATTAATATCACAACAAAGAGGTTGCCTACCACAGTTATCACGTAGAGAGTGGAAAATGGCAGCAGGAGAAAGATCTGCAGTTCCTTTGAGGTACAAAGTCCCTGAAAAATAAACTCAGATACCACAGTCTGGTTATCTTCCATTTAGCAAACTTCACTAATGTCTTACACAAAGAGCTCAGCCAAGAAATCTTGGAATAGTAAAGATAACTTTCTTAAACAATCAAGTAAGCAGAAATAATGCAAATTGAAATCCCAACAATTTACCCAACCAAAGTTTGAAATACATGCTTCTATATTATGTCTTAGCGGTGAAGATTCCTTAATGTAGAAAAATAGATGGAGAAACAGCATTGCACATCTGAAACACAATATACAGAGTATCAAAATGAATATGTTGATTAAAGATATTAGTAGCAAATAGTATCTTTACATTTTTTAGACCTTAAATATATTTTGTCTTCAAGGAATCAGACATAAGTTTCTTCAGTTAATAACGGAGACATAGTTAGATCCACTTTATTTGACCATAATACTTACAGAATGACAATCTATTGTCATATTTCAAACATAAACACAAAAGTTCCAGGCATAAGTCTAGTGTTGACTGTGTGTGAACTGACAGAATTGAGCTGATGCTATTAAAAAGTGTGAGAAAAACTTTTCATTGAGTAAACTGAGAACCAGGTGCTAAAGACACATTGTTAGCATTATGTCTTTTCTTTATTTTTTGACTAACCCTTCAAAGTGTAGCTCCTCAATTTCATATATTTACATGCCTAAAGATGTTACTTATTGTCATATACTTACTGGTTTTCTAATCTAAATGGTGAGATTTCATGTCATAATTTGAATAATCTCTTTCTGAAAGCTTCTTTCCCTGCCTATAATCTTTTCTTCCTTACTTTACATTCTTCCTTTACTTATTCCTCACCTTAATTTCTCTACTTTGTCATCATATTTTTAGTTTGGAAGTTGGAAGATTAGAAACTCAAGTTAGCAGATATTTTGAAGTTTCTGTCGCAAGATTATATATTGATTATAATATTATTGATTTTCCTTTATCAATAAGTTCAATCAAGTAGCAAAGTTGTAGTGTAAATGTGTAAATCTATTGTCTTTCTCCAATATTTCTTCCAAAGTTGAATGTAACTGATAAGAAGCTTGATATTAAGTGTTCAAGTCAAAGTGACAATATTTTATGAAGCAAGGCACTTTACTCTTTATGATGAAATAAAAATACAGTGTTTACATAAAAGTTAGTGCAATTTCATTGTGTTAACAATTCAATGCAATTAACCTTGAATATCAGTGGCATTTTCACATACCTTTTACTGATTCTGCGAATTAATAAAGAACTATGCTTTCATTAAACCCAACTGTTCTCATCTCCCTTCAATCTCTATTAACTATTTCTTACTGTATTACATATAGCTTGAGAAAATACAGAGTAAGTTTAGTGATCTGTGAACACCATACTTCTCAAAGTTGAGAGATTTAGAACTTGTAAGAATACATTAAGAAGTCATTATATATGACCACATAAAACTGTTTTAAGTTCCCAGAAGTCTCAAGTATTTGTTGGAAGGGAAAACATGTACTTTTTTTTTGTCAAACACAACAATTAAAGATGCAATACGCTGCATAAAATTATAAAGGAGGAAAAAATATGCACCACCAAAACAAGCAAACAGACAAATCTTTGATGAGTATTTGAGATTAAAAAAAGGTTGCAACAATCATTTTTGGAAGCACTCACTATACAAGAAACAGGTCTTTCATTTAGGATGACGTTTCCTCTAATTCTCCCTTGAATCCAAAACCCTTCCACAGTAGTTTCTGCTGTAACCAGTAATGATTAGGGTATTTCAGCTCAGTGTGGTTTATATACACTGAAAAAAGTTGTGCCTGTAACAGGACCTAGTAGTTGCAAAGAGTTTTGCTTTCATTGTCCTTGGGGATCTCTAGCCTTCAACTTTTCTTGAACTGAACAGCTCAATAATGAATAAATAGTTCCTTTGATTTTATAAATATTTTGTAATTTTTACATTGATATTTTATGTGTTCTGATAACATACATGCTATAGGATAAATCACACAGACCAGTGAAATGCCATAGCAGACAAAGTCACTTGTTGTCAGGAAAATGATGTATGTTAGTCTCTGTTAGTGGAGAGAGAGACCAAGTCTTTTAAGTTGTCTTCTGACCTACAGATATTTGCTGTTACATGGTTGAATGTACATATATAGATATGCATATATATGTGTATACATATGCACACATATAAATACATGTAATACTTTTATTTTTATTTTATTTAATTTATTCATTTCAGAAGCAAATTACACAGTAACATGACAATTCCACCTTGTTCCCAAAGTTATTACTGACTTTTTCCCTCCAGTTCTGGCTCATTTCACCACTCATGGCCTGATTCCTGTGATCTAGAATAAATATTCACAAAGGCACATGTGTACCATGACAGACCCAATACATTCAATACCTCAGAAGCTTCAAATTCAAGAAAATGTCCTCAAAATCAGAGTCATGTGTCATCCTTCCCATCCTTGTCATTTTAGGGATTTTGGCTGATTTTGTTTAGCAAGAATTGCCTGAAACTTACTAGTAATGTGGTAACTACATTTTTATAAACTAAGCAAAAATGAAAAAATCTCAAACCACTCATTTGATATTACATACTCAGTAAGTTTCACATTTTAAATTTATTTTTTAATAGTAGTATTAGTACTCTGCATGCTATTTAGTTTTTATTCTGTATTCTGGATAGAAGTGATTTGTCCAGTTTCTGTCACAGAATAGCAAAAGTTACTTTATCAATTTGTTGTTGCTTTGTTCTTTATAGATTTGCAATACATTTGATTATAAAAACCTCATTCTTCACTGGACAACCTGAAGGCTTTCATCTATTTGAAGTTAAATATAAAGATGCATATGTCTTCGGCATTCCATCAACTCTCACATGTACTAACACTCTGCTTGAAGAGGCCAAAACTAATAATGTTTTTAAAAGAGAAAGAATCTTGTCTGTAATTTTACAGTGCAAATAGATATTTAGACAACCGTATTAACACCTTCAAATGACACCAGAACCACATTTAATTACTGACAATCTTTAAAACTTTATGATCAACCCATAGCATACTTACAACTAAGGGAAACAATCTTATTACAATTTGTGCAATATGACTTTAGTTTTATATACATTTTATTGAGGATAATTATAGTGAACATATTTACACACACACACACATATATATATACACAAATAGTGAAAGTACATATTAGTACTTTACATAGATACTATGTGTACATTAATGCATCTAAAATTTATTTCAATTTTTCATCCATAATAATTTATTAAGTATACTTTCAATCTGTAAAATAATTACTAGGAATTGTTAGTCATATATAACTGAAAAATTTTAAAATCTAATATTCTATTTCTTCACCCAGTGTTTCATTGTGATTGCAATTCTACCACTTTCTGTTTAATAACATTTTTAAAGTCTGCATATAACTGAGAACATACATCATTGTGTGTAGGGGCTTCTGGATATCTGGCTTTCTTTATTTAGCATAATATCTTCCACATTCAACACTGACATTATAGTCTTCTTTTTAAAAATAGTGACTAAAGCATGATCATGAGAAAAAAATATATTGACAAGATATAGAGTCCCAGCAACTCAAACTCAAAAATGATGGAGTAATTTATTTGGTTCATTGACTGAAACAGATGAGTGGACTTTAAAGCACCTGTTGATAAAACATGACAAAAATCATATTTCATGATGGTAATGTATATCCACATTGATCATAATACTTTGTTCTTAGCCAGAAACATGAAAATAGACATACTTGAGTTGAATAACAATAAGAAAGTGAAGTGTAGTGATGAGGAGATTATACAAGAAAGAATGGGAAACAGCAGGATGAAGTCTCTCATGTCTTTAGTCATAGTTTGCACAATGGTGAGGCAGGAAACTCGTAGGTTAAGAAAACTTCTTGTCTTACAAAATGAGCCTTTAATAAATTATTGAATAAGTAAAGAAAGAAAACTACTAATACACTGGATTGAATAAATACAATGGGCTAATTTTGTTGATATTCTAGAAGCAGCTGTTTTGTGCTTTGTTTGCTTTTGATAAACAAACATGCATTTGCTTCTTTTATGATTTCTTCCTATGAGTTCTCCCACATGGATTACAGTAATTTCTGTTATATTTGATATTAATGCTGTTCTTGACCAACTGAACATTTAGCTCGGTTTTCTATGTTTTGTCTTTTGTTTATGTAAGTTACTGTGGATGTCAGATACACATATTGAGGTCTTTCACAACATTTAAATAATGACTCAATAATACAGCCTTGAACTTATTTATTAATTCATTATTCCTCACAAAGATATAGTATACATACCAAAGTCAAATATGACACACAATGTTTATATATATATACATATATATATGTATATATATATATATCTTCTATTAAAATATTTATTTTGCAAAAGGCACTGTTTTTAGTATATTATCTCACTTAAACTTCACAAAAAAACCCTGTGTTGTATTTTACATACATTTTATGGATTGAGAAATTGAATGTTAGAGGGATGAAGCATCAAAATTAGGTTTTGTATCTGTATCAATAGAATATTATAATCTATACTCCTAATCACTAAACTCTGTTCACAAATGGCAGCCCCTAAATATATGCTGTGGATCTTCCAAGATCATCAGCTAAATGTTACACACGTTCTATTTTACTTAAGATAGTAATATAATGGCTTCTTTTCTGTTGTTTCCATTTTTTGTCATTGCTATTTCTATTTTTAAATCTACATAATTTTTGTTTTACTACTTGGGCAGTGGCAACTGATGATCATAAATTTAGAGTCATTCTTGGATAGATATTGTATTGGAGATCAGCCTTAGTTACAGGAGAAGCAATCCCATTTCTGATATATGTACCTACAGATTTGTTCATTGCTTAATTATTGTCATAGAAGCTTCGTCTTACAGTAGATAGGAACAATCATAGAGATACACAGCTGGGCAAAGTGTGGAAAGCGAGAGACTTTGGAACACTCAGTCCTAACTGTAAGGTCTTCATCAAGCTTCTC